GTGCAGGGTGACTGGTCTTGTCTCCGCCCCCTCCTGCAATAAAGACCGGTCACTGCCGCTCCCTCTCCTTGTGCAGGGTGACTGGTCTTGTCTCCGCCCTATCCTTGTGCAGGGTGACTGGTCTTGTCTCCGCCCCTCCTGTAATAAAGACTTGTCACTGCCGCTCCCTCTCCTTGTGCAGGGTGACTGGTCTTGTCTCCGCCCCCTCCTGCAATAAAGACCGGCCACTGCTGCTCTCTCTCCTTGTGTAAGGGTGACCGGTCTTCTCTCCGCCTCCTTCTGTAATAAAGACTGGTCACTGCTGCTCTCTCTTTGTGCAGGGTGACCGGTCTTGTCTCCGCCCCTTCTGTAATAAAGACCGGTCACTGCTGCTCTCTCTCTCCTTGTGCAGGGTGACTGGTCTTGTCTCCGCCCCCTCCTGCAATAAAGACCGGTCACTGCTGCTCTCTCTCTCCTTGTGCAGGGTGACTGGTCTTGTCTCCGCCCCCTCCTGCAATAAAGACCGGTCACTGCTGCTCTCTCTCTCCTTGTGCAGGGTGACTGGTCTTGTCTCCGCCCCCTCCTGCAATAAAGACCGGCCACTGCTGCTCTCTCTCCCTGTGCAGGGTGACTGGTCTTGTATCCGCCCCTCCTTGTGCAGGGTGACTGGTCCTGTCTCCACCCCCTCCTGTAGTAGGTGGGGCCTGCTGGGCTCCACCCACACACCCACAGCTCTGCTCTCAGCACAGGCTATGTACAGCACAGGGATGGTGTCACTGCTACTTTAACAAGGTAATATCTGGATTTGTAAACACATTTGGTCCACAAAAAGTGTATTTATATCCTGTGTGGGTATCGAGTAATAGATTTCAATGAAAGTTTTTGTGCTCGCAACATTAAAACATTTTTTTTTTTTATTGATGTATTATTTGTGTCTCTTATATCTGCTGGAATTCAGCTTTAAATGTAATCTAATCGCTCCACATCTCCGTCTCGTTCTGAATTCACAGGCGACAGCCAATCCGAAACGAGATAATTTATATTCAAGGTTGTCACCGGGGAAATTGAGACATGAATAAAGAAATAAAGTACATTGAGCATGAGATTTTATTCTCCCATTGACAGTTCACAGCCGCTCATATCTACCACCCCCCCCCACCCCATCCCTGTGCTGAGTTCCCGGGTCTGTACTCCCGCTGTGCCCATTATACACCCGCTGTGCCCATTATGAGGGGCCCCCACCATCCCTGTGCTGAGTTCCCGGGTCTGTACACCTGCTGTGCCCATTATGAGGAGCCCCCACCATCCCTGTGCTGAGTTCCCGGGTCTGTACACCCGCTGTGCCCATTATGAGGAGCTCCCACCATCCCTGTGCTGAGTTCCCGGGTCTGTACACCCGCTGTGCCCATTATGGAGAATGTAAGGGGCGGAGCCGGGAACAAGCTGGGATCCCGGCATTAGAAACGTCGTTTTTGGTGATCTGCCCTCTAAGGGTTAAAGGAACACAGACAGCTGATTGTAATCAACTCGGCTCCTCCCCTCCAGGAGTCAGTCTAGGGAGGACTGCTGGCAGCAGGAGAGGAAAAGGGCAGAATCTGCTACAAAGTATCTTACAATCCTTGCATTGCACTCTCATCGGTTACATTGTGCCCAGCTCTCTCTCTCTCTCTGAGGACTACAGAACACATCACCCCCATGTTAAGACGATAAAGAAAGAGCGGGGGGTATTCTGTAGCCCTGTCCTAAGGTGACAATGCTGCTCTTACACCTGTTGATCCAGCGAGCTGATCATTTCCTGTGCTGCACTCTTATCATTTACTTTGTGT